CTCTCTGCTGTTCCCCAGCTCCTCTTTGGCTCTCTGTGTTTGCTGCTTTAGCTGACCCGTGTCCCTTCTGTTCCTGCTCAGCACTCCAGAGAGCCAACAGCTTCCAGTCCACAGCGTTAAATAAGTGCCAGAACTGGAGGAGAAGGATCCAAACGAGTGAGTAGAGCCTGAGAAGTGATTGTATCTTCTATTCATGCTCTTTCCCTGTCTTTTAGTTGTCTGTTTTCCCTCCTTTCCTTTAGAATTTTTACATTTTTGAGTCACTAGTTGAGAAAACAGAGATCTGAAGCACACCAAAGGTTTATTTCCATTTTCTTACCTTCATAAAATCAAACTGCCCTTCTGTGTGACTGTTCTCTGTGTAGCTGTACCCATCAGCAGGTGGTGTCCACTTTAATTCTCCAGGTGGGAGCACACACCCCTGGCCCAGTGCTGCATATTTCCTCTCTAGCCCTGCCTGCAGTGATTGCTTTCCTCAGGTGGGACCCTGGCTCTGGCCTGATGTCACTCATTAGAAATGCTCCTGGTGCCTGATGACACACTCCCACACTGCTCTGTCACCTCTTTTCTGCTGGAAAACCCCACAAGGTGATATTTTTGGGTTGGGGAAAGGGAGAAAGACAATCCCAACAGGTGAGATGGTGAAAATAAGTGTTAGTGGGTGAAAATAAGTGTTAGTGGTTCTTGCCCTGCAGCAGTTTACCTTGGTTTGGGAATCACACAGGATTTCCCTGTGGGAATCACACAGGAATGCAGTGATTTGATAGAGATTGAGAGTGCCACACTTGAGAGTGCCACGGTTTGAGTGTCACAGATTGAGTGCCACACTTGAGAGTGCCACAGTGTGAGAGTGTCACAGACTGAGAGTCACACTTGAGAATGGCACAATTTAAGAGTGTCACAGTGTGAGAGTGTCACAGCTTGAGAGTGCCACAATTTCTGAGCACCATCACATTGGCCCTTGATGTGAGAAAAGGATTTGTAAAGGATTTTTAAAAGTTTACATACAAATATACAAAAGTGTAAACTTTCAAACAAGCTTTAAAAATCCCTTACAAATCCATTTCTCACATCTGGGAGTGATGGTGACAGCTGCTCTTTAACCCTCTGCAATGAGAGGCATTTCTGCTGCTGCTCAGAGAAGTTATGGCTCAGCTTCTGAAACCATAGGGTGTCTGTGCCCATGAGTGGACCAGTGCTCAGAGGCATTTCAGGTTGCTTGCTTTGAATGCCCAGGAAATCTTTGGGATTATTTGCGAGTACCCACTGTGGGATGAATTTTTATATCTCAAATGATGAGATAAGATGCATTTCCTCTTTCTGGCATCAGCCTTGCCTTCAATCCAGGTGCACATGAGCAGTGTCACTGCCCACCCACCCACAGTCCCCTGGAGTGCCTCCCATTGGGATAACTCAGTAAATGTCAGTGGAACACACTCAGGGCTGTTTCGTGGTGCTGAGGGGACAAAGCTGTGTCCCTGGAGAGGCAGCTGTGGCAGACAGGACAGGCTGGGATGCCCTGCACCCCCAGCCACCAGGCTGTGCCATGCCCTGACACTGGGTGTGCCACCCAGGGGAGGGCTCCCCACGCCTGCCATGGGAGGGTCCCAAAGTCTCCTGGCATCCCTGCCAGCCTTGGCTCTGCCTCTTGGGTACTGTGAACACACAGACATCAGAGTTTGGCTCCACCAAAGGCTTGGGTTTAAAGTCTTGCCTTAATTGATCTCAGTTTTGAAAAGATCAGTCAATAATGATTCTCCATCCAGGTTTGTGTGGGGGGTAAGAAAGATTGTTAGACAGGAAAGCAGAGGAGACTAGAGGGGGTGTCACTCTTAATTTTGACTGATTTTCAGCTTGTTCTCAGCAAGGGCATTACTTAATGGTTTGCCAATTAATTTTTCCATCATTTTGTTAGAATCTTCCACGTGCCTCAAGGGCTCTAGAGGGAGCCAGAAGCCTTTGAGAGGGAAGCAATGTGCTGCATGAGTCTGCCTGAACCTCAAGTATGCTGTTAAAATGAGGTGTAAAGCACAGTCAGCATACACTGGGAGCAGAATAAAAGCTTTTTTTTTTACTCTCTGGAGGAAGAGTGTAAGCCATGGTTTCTATATTTAATCCAATTTGATTACAGGAATTCATATGATCATCAGTCACACGAAAAAAACCTCCGTCTCCTTTTCAGACATATTTCCCCAAACACATATGTTTCATAAACAGCACGGGGTAGGCAGCCAAGGAGAGGAAATCAGTGTCACAGCTATATTGGCTGAAAGGCTCAGAGCAGGATATTACCTTTCAAAACCTTTAATCCCCATTGCACGGCCACAGGGAACGCCGTGCTCTTAATTTATCTTGGATTTTGGGCCAAACAGATCCTGATAGTGCCCTAGGGAACTTTTTGTTGGTTTTTTTTTGTTGTGTTTTTTTGTTTATTTTTTGTTTGTTTGTTTTTTGTTTTGTTTTGGGTGGGGTTTTTTGGTGGTGGGTTTTTTTGTTGTTGTTTGTTTGTTTGTTTTGTTTGCTTGTTTTTAAAATCCTGGTTTGAAAGCAGAGCTGAAAATACAGGTTCAGCGTTTTGGTGGGAATGAAAATGTGTTTTCCCTGTGAGAGATGGGGAGCTGTGGCTTTGTGTGGAGCAGTGTTCTCACACGTGCAGGTCCCTCCTTGTGAGCCTGTCTTGTGCAGGTGGTGGTGGTGCCTTTTTTATCCTAATTGTGGATCCTCCAGAATATAAAGGTCAGCCTGGTTGCCATCCCTGCAGGAGCTCCTTGGCAGGCTCCAGCACAATGTGTCCCTCCAGTCTTGATCAAAGAAAAAACATAACATTAAAAAACATAACAAGTTGCATCAAGGTTGGCTACAAATAGGTGAGACACAGAGGGAAGGGGACTCAGCCTCCCTCCCTGGCTTTGCTGAAGTCCCCATGCAGGAACTGTTCTCTCTCTCCCTGGAGTGTTGCTCTTGTCCTTCTGCACCTTGTAATCCCCAGCAGAGGAACAAAAGTTTGCATGAACCTTGAAACTAATGGTTGAGTTTGGGAGTTAATAATTGAGCTGTGAATATACTTGTCATGTTATAGCTGGACATGATAATATCTTGGATCAGGGATACTTTTGTTTGTCCAAAGATTATTTATTGTGTAGAATTTCCACAGACACAAATAGTGGAAAGTTCTCCTGCCTCCCTTCAGGTGCCTCCTTCAGTAATTAATTACCTTGCCTGATCCTTGGAGAGCCCCATGGTGCTGCCTGTTGTCCTGGCTTGGGAGACTTTTTTCTGTCCTTGCTGCCTGCAGGTGGATGCATTTCCCATGTTTTCCCTGTTTGAATGGACAGCCCTCTCAGAAGTCATCCATTTCCTTCATTTCTTGGAACTACCCAAAGTTCAAAAGTCACAGGTTGTTTTGACTGCCTGAAAGCCCTCTGAAGAGGGCTGCTTCTCCAGACAGTTTCCTGGAGCTCAAAAGCTGCTTCATTACCTCCAGCCAAGAAGGGGAAGCAGTTCAGGTCCACCCCTGAAAATATCAGCATGTGTTTGGCACAGCACACACACACACATTGAGCAAGGCCACAGCAATGTTGGAGATCACTTCTTCAGCTTAACTCTATCCAGGAGAACAGAGTTCAATCTTCCACTCTTCTTCTTTAATTGCAGACTTCACTTAAGACCAAGTCAATAGCGATGGGAAGGTAAAGGTTGTGTCTTTGTGTCTTTTGCAGGCTTTCCTCTGCTGTCAAGCAGGAAGCCTGGGCTGCAGGGGAAGGACAGCTCAGCCAGCTGCCAGGCTGGTGCTGCAGAGGAGCACTCCCCAACACAGGTGGGAAGGGGAATTGTGCAGGGCAGAATGGCTGCGGCTGCTGCTGGGGCTGTTTCAGTAGTTTTGGTCCTCACAGTAACTGCTGAGCTTGGAGTCAGACCTGTGCTGCTCGTGGGGAAGAGACTTGGATTTGATGTAATCTCTTGGATTTGATGTAATCTCTTGGATTTGATGTAATCATTCCCAAATCAAGCAGCTGTGAGACTCAGGCCTCCATCACACAGGGAGTTAGCCACTAATCTGTTGCAGCAGTCATAAAATCACAGATTAGTTCAGGCTGGAAAAGGGCTTCACATCTCCCACTGCTCAGGAGCATCTTCTGTGTCCTGCAGGACCTCGGATTTCCACGGTATTTTTCTGGGTTATTTTTACTTTGAGGTTTTTTAAGGCTGAGGAAGGGTGAGGTGCCATGAGTGCAGCCCTGCAGGAGGATGGTGACTGAGCACCCTGAGCAAAGGGCAGCACATCCCTGCACTCCAGAGGGAGCAGGGACCAGCCCACATCCTCCATCCCTGCACATCTGTCCTCACCCTTGGGTTAAGCATGACTGAAATTGCTTGAGCCCAGATTCTATGCTGGAAAAAATCAACTCTTCCACATGCAGAGTGGTGGCTGAGATCCAGGGCAGGACAATGGGGCCAGGAAGGGACATCCCTGGGGAGCAGAGCTGCACCCCTGAGAGCTCCTGCTCTACCAGCACTGCTTAGTGGCCTTTTTCTTACTCTAAAAAGTGAGACTTAAGAGGGTGTTTATTTGTTTATTGTGCTTCTTACATTTTTTTTAATCCGAGATCCTGGCCAGTAACAATTTCAGCCACTAAACAGAAGTGTGAAACAAAGTGGAAGCATCATTGCCTGACTTCTGATGCTTCTGGGAAATGAAAATCAGACAGATGAATGGCTTCACCCCTGTGAATTTGGGTATCTGGCACATAAGTGGAAGCAGGAATTCAATCTTCACACCATCCATTATCACATAGCACTGATGATAAAATGCCTCCCTTTTAAGAAGGAAGGAAGAACTCTAGTTTTGTTTGGCTACATAAAGTGGGTATTTATCCCTGTTACTATTTTGGTGGCTGAAATAATGAATTTAAACCTTTATCAAAGGAAAAATAATCACAAGAGGGAACCAACTGAATTGTTTAAAATTACCATCTTAGATATGATAATTTTTTCTTGGTCACTTCTTCCATTCCTACCTGCGCTGCATAAACATGCAATATTAGAAAAACATTTGGAGAGGATGGATACTGGTCTCTTTTGCTTGCTCAAAACTCTAAGGTGGTGCAGCTAGAACACACACAGGAGAATAGAGCAGATCTGCTCTTGTCTGTTTTCCTGGAGATAGGACTGTTTCTTTCTAAAGAAAATATTAAAGGCAATTCATAAAGATATGGCAGATTCTAAGCATGAATAACATTATTTTTAGACTATTAAAATTTCCAGTAGTATTAGATCTCTATTTCTAGAGAAATATTAGCCCTTTAGGGAGAAAAGCTTTTCTCACATTATCATCTACATGTGTATTTGTATATAAATTAAATATTATGTTCACTACTATTATGTTAAGATTAAAACGGATTGGAATATTTTATGAAATAGAAGCTACACAAAGCAGTGTTTTTATATCCCTAAAATATTTTTTTATGCACTTCACAGTTGACTTCTTACAAGAAGCCACCAGAAATTGCAAGAAGACATTTCAAACCCTGCAGCCCAGTATTTCAAAGAAAAGAAGGAGGCAGGGAGATGCCTGAAGACACACATTGCTATGTTCCCCACTGCTCTCTTCAGAGCAGCACCACAGGTCCTGCAGGGACCTCTCTTGGCAATGGGACACTGGCTGCTGATTTGTATGAGCCTGAAGACACAGACAGTGACAGTGGGACACAGCCAGCCCGGGGCTGGAAGGGAGAACCACGGAAATGCATCTCTGAACCTGAGCACTTCAACAGGAAGAGCCGAGCGCTCTCATTGCTGGATTTGAAAGAGAAAGATGGCAAAAATAGCAGAAACCCAGAAAGAAAGCTTGAGCAAGAATTAAAGGAGGCAAAACAGAGGCTGGGGCTTCGTAGTGGACAGCAGCCCTTGTCTGGCCCGAGCAGGACAGCCCCAGGGAATGGGAATGGTGGAGCCCCGAGTGCTCCAGAGGAGAAGGATGCTGGCTGGAGAAGAGAAGTGTTCCAACACTCTGCTCGTCCTGGGCCTCTCTCACTTGCAGGTGCTGCTCCACCAACTTCATCATCAGACACAAAGCATGCTCTGAGGATTCCAGATGTGGTTTCCAGGGAGCATGCAGCTGGGCAGCCAAAATCCCCACTGAAGCTCATAGCCAATGCTATCAAAAGGTCCCTTTGGGAGCCTCTAACCTCATCTCCAGAAGCACTAAAGCAGGACTCAGACAGCAAAGTCAAAGCCTCTTCAGAACACTCCTTCTGGTTCCCCAGCACTCCTGGGTATTCCCTAAGCCAAAGGAACAGGAATAACAATAACACTCAGTCACAGGATCCTCGAGTAAGGGAGTGGGCAGGAAAAGATGTAGGAGATAGGAGCCCTTCCCCAAATCTGTCTCATGCTTCTGTGGGCTCTGAAGGGATATCTCTAAGGGATCACAGGGAAGAGGTGTCCTTCACACCCTACAGGCCTTCCAAGACAACCCATATACCTCAGAAACCAGCTTGCACTAGGATGGAGGAAGTCCCAGGACTCCTAGAAAAGTTCACCTTTGAAGACCGTCCTCTAGGGACCCCCATGGATGAAGTCTGTAAGAAAAAATCCACTCTTCTTTCATCTCCAGAGCCCAGGAGCTCCCTCAAGGGCAATCTGGATGTCTCTGCACAAAAAGGGTCACTCTTCAATAGACTGAGAAGCAAAGCTCGTGAAAGGGAACAGAATTCCTTGATGTTATCTCTGCCTGTCCTTAAGGACCATTCTCCAGAAAGGTTGTGTTACCCTTTCACAGGTGAGGACCCTGGTGGAATTACTTTGTAATTATTATTGTTATTATTATTAGTAGTAGTAGTATTGTTATTATTATTATTGTTATTATTATTATCATCATCATTACTACTGTGTAACTGCACTTAACCTTTAAAAGACCTGTGTGTGACCATGCAGGCACACATCTATACTGCTTTGTGCTATGGTTAATTTCTAGTAATTTTCTACATAAGGAGACTTAATAAATACATTTTGTGGCTGAAGTTTAGGAGTTGCTACAGATTAAAAGGAACTGAGTGGTTCTGCAAGCAGAAGCAGCTTGCTGGACCCAAACTTGGTTGGCTGCTGGCTGCTCCTGGGACATGTTTGGGTCAGGCAATTGTCCTCAAGAGGTGGAAGGGGTGGCAAGGCAGAGTGGGATGCTGGGCAGAGCAGCTTCTGCAGTGACAGAGCTGTGGAAGGGGAACTGGAGCAGGCAAGCAGAAGGACAAGCACCAAAACCTCTGATTTTTGCAGTGCAGGGTACATTTGTTTTCTCTCCCATGAGGAACCTGAGGCTGAAGCAATATGGTTGCAGCAGCAAGAAGCTGTGCTCTGTGTTTGTGCTTCCTCAGCAGGTGTCTCCTCAGCTCTGCTCTCAGAGTAACTACACTGTGGACATACTTTTGGGAGTTTTGCAGTGTCATTAATATCCCCTTGTTGTTTAATTTGAGAAGAGAGAGCTCCCTATTGACCTCCTCTGACCTATTTGTGAGTCTATCTGGGCAGTGATTAAAAGGCATCAATTTTCTTGTTTGCTTGCAAGAGCAAGGTTAGTATTGAAACTGCAGACAAGTCCAAGAAGTATTGATGCCAAACCAAGAGCAATCCGAGTGATCTGAGCATAGGTTCAGAAAGAATTACCACCTGTCTTTCTCTGTGATCCATCTTCCCACTGCAGCAAATCTCAGTTATTTAACTAAATAAGCTATTGAATTTTGTCAACACACCTGCTTGTCTCTTGCTTTATGCAATTGCAACCCAAACTGGAACCCCAGAATCGCTGCTGTGCCTCAGCAATAAAACCTGCATGTGAAATGGGAAGTTATTGAAATATTCCAGTGAGCTGCCAGATCCTTTTGCATCCCTTTCTGCTTTAGAGCTGCCACACACTGTGAGCAGAGAAGAAGATAGAAGATGTAGATGATAGAAGATAGAGGATGTAAGTCACTTGATCTGGAGCTCTTTAAAACTGATAGATAACTCCTGATAGATAACTCCTGATAGATAACTCCTGATAGATAACATAAAACTGATAGATAACTCCTGATAGATAACATAAAACTGATAGATAACTGATAGATAACTCCTGATAGATAACATAAAACTGATAGAATAACTCTTGCTCTGGTTCCTGGGTTTTTGGATTGGATCCATGGAGCATCCTTTACCCAACAACTCACAAAACCAGGCATTGCCATTGAGCCAGAAGATGCTCAGGGCTGCACTGAAGCCACAGAGAGTTGCTGGTTCACACTTCTCTCTGTGTTCTTAAATGGGGAACTCTTTTCAGAGTCTGTACCTCATCACTGCCCATCATCTAAGCCAACCCGACTTGCTCTGTACTAAATGCATTACAATAATTGGTATGTTGTTCTCATACTGAAATGGGAAAAGTTCTTGCAAGGTTTGAGTAATGCTATATTTTATTTATGCTGAAAATATTTTGAAAAGACATGCTGGTGTAACATGTTGCATTCCTCTGCTCTGTGCAAGCCAAAAGAGAAATTATTAAATTATCACAGTTATTGAATATAGGCAATGCAAAGTCTGTTTAGAAAAAGGAAAATTAAATTCTAATCTAGCCATTTGCCCAGTAATCTGTTATCTTCAATGTTTCAACATTGTAGCTCTCTGAAGTTTTTAAAACATTCATATTTGAGAAAATCTGTATATAGTAAAATTAGAAAAGAGCTGAGTCCTGCTTGGCTTTCAAAAATGGCATTTCTGTCTCATGCAGGCACTTGCTTGGCAAACTTTAGGCATGAAGTGATGACAAGCTTTAGCCCACACTTGTTGTTATTTTCCTCTCTTGAAATTTACTGCAAATTTCAGAAAATTTCTTTAATGAAAAGAAAAATACTCCCAGCACCTTGCAGAAGCCAATTTAATGAGACTCCTCCTAATCTTCCTCTTGGCTCTTTGCAGCAGGGCTTTCCTGTCCTGTGTGGGGTCCCACTTGCTCTGTGCAGGTATGGTTGGGATTGCATTGCACTGGTGTTTCCTCCCTCCGTGGCTTGTGGCTCCAGAGAATGAGCTGGGTGACAAAAATTCATGGGCTTGAGATGAGCCTGGGCCAGCTCATGGCACAGAAATCCCCTGGGGAGTAGCCAAATACTTAGAAACCACTTCTGATATTTAATTTATTCTAGACAAAGCTCACTGGATTAATGGGGGCTCATGCAAACTTTTCAGGGAGAGACTGGTTTAAAAAAAAGAAATCCAAAGTTTGCCTGTAGAATATACAACTGCCCACAAATAACCAGGCTGGACTTCCCAAGTGCTATTCCAGATTTTTGATTTACTGCACAAATATCTTTAAGGCTTTTTTGTCCTCTGATGCTTTCTTTATGTCCCAACCAGCAGTGAAACTCCCCCCAAAAAACTGATCAATAGAATTGTTCAATCAGATAGATACCTGTTCTCTCCTAAGCCTACTTGCCCTTTTAAAATTCAATAAAATGCCAAAGTGCCATGTTAATTACTGATACTTTTAGCAGAATAACCGGTTCAGCTGATGAGAAAATGTAATGTGCTGTGAACTCAGCTGATTTTATGCACCCTTAGATTGAGAAGGGGTTGCTTGCAAATGTTTCAGGTTCCCATTACTGCCTTGTTGTGCCCCAGAAAGCCTGTGTGTTTGAAGTGTTCAGCTCAGTGAGGACACTGCTCCTGCACTCATTTGGTATTTTAGAAGGGGAACTGAGGCACTAGAAGATCAATTACATGTGTAAATTGATTTTACACACGTCAGAAATCTGTGTGTAAATGTGAGATGTGAAACCAAGTAGCCAAGCCCTGTCTTTCTGCTGGTCATTCTACTGGATTTCCACTGGCCATTCTTTCCATTTCCTGCCAGCTTCCATCTGGTTTTGGACACCAGGAGATAAATAAGTGTAACTTTATCTCTCTCTCTTGTGAAACACTGACATTCTTACAGTGGCCATGATTAACTCCCATGACTTTACAAAAACATGCACTCTTGGACAGTTACATTAATACAGCATTGTGTTATCAAAACAGTTCCTGCTCCAAGACAGGCTATTGTATTTATTTATTTTATTAATATTTTTATTGTTATTTAATGTGTTGTATTTAGGCTGCAGTCAGTACCATGGCACAGAAACACCCCAGGAGAGAAAGGGAAGTGAGGTGTGGCAGGCAGATGGACACCAGGGGTGGTTTTCCCTAGAAATCTCCAGGACAACCAGGAGTGCTCCCACATCTAACACAAGGGATCTCCTTGGGAGCTCCTTCACATGACACCTCTCTTGCTTTTCAGAGGAGCTCAGGTTTCCTGGGAAAATGATATTCATGTTAAGGGAGAGGTTCTCAAAAGCATTGCACTTTCATTGTTCCATGGGGAGGGACAGCTCTAGTATAGCATATGCTAATTTGGAAATTAGGGAGATGCTGGAGTACTCAGGAAATATGTAATAAACAACTCCCAGTCTGAAGGAATGAGATGCCTACAAAGTGAAAGTTCAAGTCTAGAAGACTTGAGTTAATATTTGGAAAACAACCTAAATTTTTGAGATCATCTCTGTAGCAGATCAAACTTTAAGGCCTGGCATGTTTGGAGGCAAATTATTATCATGTAACTTTAGCATTGCAGTTCTAAATTTCAGAATTTAATGACTCAGTAAAATGGCCTAAGTTTGAACATTTTTGTGTTTGTTTTGTCCAAATTCTCACAGCTGTTGGCTAAGTTCTGCCTATCCCACCCTGTTTGGTTGGAGGGGTTTTTGGGGTTTTGGTTTGGGGTTTTTTTGTTGATTGTTTGTCTTCTTGTGTTGGAGCAGGCTACTTCTCCTCTAGACCTTGCAATGCTTCCTAAATTATTGATATCACCCAAAGGGGAGGACAGGACCCAAGTCTGCTGCACTGATCCCTCTGAGCTTGCAGCTTCACTGAGCACAAGGGCTGGCTGCTTCTAAAACTGAGATTGCTGAAAAAAAAAAAGAAAAAATAATCAGGATTTCTGCCTCAAATTACTCGGATTTGCTTTTATTGCTTTACTGTCTGGGATGAAATTGTTTCACAGATCCTGAGCTTAAATTGGGGCTGGAGGCAGAAGTCCTACTTCAGCCCCAGGACCCAGAGCAAGGCAAAGAAGAAACATCTACACTGGGAGAAGGGGAGGTGATTTCAATCTGAATACACCTAGAAAGCCAACTGTTGCCTTGTAGATACAAAGAAAAACGACCACTGTTAGCTTTAAATAATGTACATTTCCAAGATGCCCAGCTGTTAATCATTAACCCTGCAGCAGGTTGAAGCACAGAGACAGATGTTCCAAAAGCAGTTTTATTTTATGAAATAAAGAGAATGAAGCTATGCATTAGACAAATTAAGAAGAAATTCAAATATTTACACCCAGTTGAAACAAGATGCTGGGAAAACAGGCATGATAAAATTGCTGCAATTAAAAGTAATTTAATTTATAATTCTGAAAGCATGCTTCTTGCAAAGGCAGAAGTTGAGTTTTCCTTTGAGTTTTCCTTATGGAGTGTATTGTTGTGATGTATGGATTTTCCTGACTTCTTATGGCATTTTAATCAACAGCCCAATGATGTGATAATATTCCTAAAGCAGAAAAATAAGTGACGTTTGTTTAGACATAATTAATGAAATATTTATGTTGCATGAGGCCGTGTGATAAAGCCCTGTTCTCTTAGTCCATTTGCTTCTGATTACATTTGTGATTTTTTTATATGACCAGACATTCTGACGCCAACTATTTTACACTGAGCAGATGTCATGTAGTAAAAATGGGTGCCAGATGCTACAAGCCACATAAGGGTAATTTGTTTAAGAGCTGGCTCAGACTTGGTGCATTCAATTACACTGTATAGTGAGCCTTATACAATCATTTGGGTAATATGGCTAACTTCACATATACATTTTAATGACTGTTGAGTGCATTCAGAACAGTGTGCTACACGCACGGTGCTCAAGGAATTAATTTACTTGTAGTACTTAGGAAAAAAATAAAATAAAATATATAGCCAGACAGTTTTTGACAGGGATCAAAAATTTAATTAGTGCTATCAGCTGAATTTCCAAATTGCTCTAGGTGCTGCTGATTAGAACTCGGGGCAGGTGCAAAGTGTCTGTTTAAGTTAAAGAACAGTGTTTTTTGCTTCACTGACCATTTTGTTATTGTGTTTCAGCACATGAACACCTACCTGTCAGAAAACAAGCTACTGAGTATTCTACTTCATCCTCCGATGAGGAATTTGAATCCAAGCCTTCATTAACACACAAGGTAATCTTGAGTGGGAAACAGAAAGGAATTTCCTTAGTTGGGTTTTATTTAAAACCCATCATGTGATTTTGATCTAAACCATGCAGCAATTCCTCCAAGGTGGGGATCAGAACGTTGGAGGATACATGTCATGGAGAGAAAACACACGAGGACAGATGAACATCAACATTTCTTTTACCTCTTTGGATTTTTAATTCCCCCAGGTTATCCCAGAGGAGCTCTTAATTTGACAAACAGACATGTTTCACTGGAACCACTTTGAAGCTGATTCTTAAGTGGCCTTAATATGTAGCCCAACAAGCAAACCCTTGAAAAAAATGAAGCCAACAGATGCAGATTTCCTTTGGGGGAATACAGATTCATTTGAGGAGTGCTGCAGGCAGGTTGCCTGGAGCACACTCTGTTTGTGGCTCCCACACTTGTGCTGATTAGGATAGAGTCACACCCAGGCCCTGAACCCCAAAAAGGCTGACTGCAGGAGATGGGGACTGCAGCACCCTGAACCCCAAAAAGGCTGACTGCAGGAGATGGGGACTGCAGCACCCTGAACCCCAAAAAGGCTGACTGCAGGAAATGGGGGAATGCAGCACCCTGAACCCCCCTACCCAGCTCTGATGAGAGGAAACACAGCTTTTAGTGTCTGAGCAGCTCATCAGAAATGTGTTCATCTCTTTCCTCTGCAGAATATCACTAAATGTCATTAATAGTATGAGGTGGCCTTTTGATCTGCTGCCTTTGGGGGTGGAGGGAAGAGGAAGGAAAACAAAACACTGAAAAATATGGAAGCTAAGTGGGACTTTGCTGTGCTTTGGTTCCTCTGTTTCCATCCAATGTGTGGCAGCACTTGTCCCCAGTGGCTCTGGGTCAGGATGTGCTGAGATGGCAGGATTCTTCATTCACCTTTCCTGTTACAGGAAAGACAATCTATAGTACAATAATGTTATGGTCAATTAAAAAAAGGTTTAAATAAAATAAAGAGAAGGGAGGCATGGGAGCAAACTGGATAGAAGCAACCCCCATCAGTTCAGGCAGTCACAGGGAGGGCAGGAGCAGGCAGGGAGAGGACAGAGCTCCAGGGAAGCTGCCAGAAATGGGAAGAAGGATCAGCTGTTGCACATGGGCATTAGCAGTGATTCACTGTGATGCACATTCCCCACTCAGTGTGCTTCTTTCAGCTGCCTCCTACCATCCTTTTTCATGCCACTTCTGGCTGCTGTTTTCCCAGTGCCACCATTTGTGTCTGGCAGAACTCAGTGAGAAAAATTTTAGTGACTTCCTGGCTGGTTAATTTTTTAATTGTCCAGTGGTGCTCAAGTATCCTGCCTCCTCAAAAATGGGAACACCACAGCCTTGAAGCACTTCAGGATAGCTTGGGTCAAAGGCAAGATGGAGCAATGGCAGTGATTCCCTGCCCAGCCCTGCAGCACTGCTGTCCTGATCTCCTGACAGCAGCAACAAGTGCCCTGGGGAAAAGCAAAAATCTCTGTAATAAGTACAGACATGGCATTAGGGAAGGTTTCACAGGGCTTCAGGTAGTATCCCATGATGGGAATTTACCACTTTATAGCTGTAGCAATGGAAATGGGTTGAATTTCCTTAAACTGGTGCTCTGCCCAGCCTGTGCATGGCCATGTGTAGTGGGTTGTTGTACACAGTCAGCTTTGGGATTTGGAAACGTTTTATTGACACTCACTTAGGGTTGCCCTATGAGCTTGAAAGCCAGCACAGCAAATGCATGTAAATGTTCCCCCATGGATGTTTCCCTTCTGCCTGAGCACCCTGCAGTAGCTCACCCTGCTCTGGGCAGGGGATGGGCTCAGACTGTCCCCAGGGGTCAGTCCCAACCCCAATGGCTCCACCATTCTGGGGAGCTTTGAGGAAAGCTGCCATGGCATACTCGTGCTTTGATTGCCTTTTTCTTTCCCTCTGTGTCTTTTAAAGACAAAAAGGGCTCTCAGAAAGAGAAGGAAGCTGGAGAAGGAGACAAAGCAGTTGATTAAGCAAGAGGAGCTGAAGAGGCTTCACAAAGCACAGGTGAGAATGGAGTTCACAGGTGTCCCCTTTGTCTACAAGAGGGACTCTGGGGATGGGGGCACCCAGAAGGGGCTCTGCACCTCCCCTCACTGCTCAGGGGGCTCACTGCCCTCGGGGCTGCAATCCCCCCAGCCAGCAGCAGCAGGGAGGTGCCTGTGGCAGGGCCCTGCATCTCTCCGGGGCACAAATCCATGTCAGTCCCTGGAGATCACCATAATTGCCATCATAATTTTGTAAATGTGCATGAAGGACAAGAGGGAACAGTGACTGGCAATAAGAGAAGGGAACTGAAGAGGGAAAGAGATAGAAAGGGGAAATAACATCAACCCTGTAGAATGTGAGAAACTCAGCCATTATCTCTGTGCATTACAGGAGGATGCAAAAATACAGTGATGGCTTTTGTTCTCTCCCTGCCACAACAACGAAAGTGAATCAATTTTTTCCTTAATGATGGAAAGTCACTTCATTTTATACAGACCTTGCTCTTCAGAAAATGCTAGGAAAGCTCTGGACTCTACTGATGTATTATTATTTCCAATTACAGTTTAAGATTTGCAAATGCACTTCTGCACAATTTGATCTCAGATGTATCCTGTGTAGTACAAGGGAAGAGGAGAAGCTATGTTTTAGTTTTTATCTGAGAATTGCAAATTATCTTGAGGTAACATTAGATGCATACATGATGACTCCTATTTTAATGCTTTGTGGAGACAATCAAGTCCAAACTTTTTGAATGATCTCTCGTATTTGTTAGGATGTTGCTGAGGGCTTGGTTTGGAATGCCCTAACACAGCCTGAAATGGGAACTGCTGAGCATCTGTCTTTGACATTTCAACCTTTAAAGGTGTTTCATGCTTTTTATCCCCACCACACCTCTAAAAATCTTATTTCAAAGGGAATGGACAATGGATGTAGAAATCCTTCCTGAAGTGCTGCTGAATTGTCACATCTTAGCTATTAGACCCTTTTCTTTCTGGGTCAAAAGCTGGTGAAATATGAAGGCAAGCCAAACAAAATCCCATGGATGATAAAATAGCTAGCAGAGCTTTCCAGCTGTAAACCTTCCCCCTTTATATGAGCTTTACTAATGTAATATCTCACAATATATGTCTCTGAATATTAAAGTATTGACTTTTTACACCTTGTGAGACACAGAAATGTTGTGATCTCTTTTTTTTTACAATGGGAGAGCTAAAACTCGGGAAAAAACTTGAGGTTCTTTTGGTGCCTGTGATACATAAAATTGTGATGGACACCTGGTGGTACATTTAAATTGCTTAGGTGCCTGGAACACTCAATGAGTTGGCAAGAGCCACGGCTCCTCTGAGACCTTTCCAGGCTGTTTCTCCAAGCACTGAGACCATCTTTTGTCTCTGAATTTTGAAGCTGTGTCTGTAGCTTTTCTGTCATTACATTTCTGCAGGCAGTCCAGCGCCAGCTAGAAGAGCTGGAGGAAAGACAAAGAGCTCTGGAGATTTTTGGTGTCGAACTGGAGAGAGAACTAAGAGGAGAAGCAGGTACACAAAGCACAGTTTGCTTGTTTAGTGGTGGGATTTTTAACCTGTACACAAAGCACAGTTTGCTTGTTTAGTGGTGGGATTTTTAACCTGTTCCAAAGCAGAAGGTTTTGATGGTTGTCATGGAAATAGTTTGGTGCAAAATCTGAAAAGGAACAATAGCTGGCAGGACAAAAATGATTGATAAACCTTTTTCTCAAACTCTCTGTTAGCTCAAGCACCTTTTTATTGAATGCTTTAAATATTCTGTTGGCTATCACAGATTTGGAATTACTGACAATGCTACCGAACCTGAATTTATATTTCCCCCAACACCACCCTCCCCCTTTTTTTGGTTTGTTTTTTTTTTTTTTAATTTAAGTCCCATCCTGAGCTTAATTTCATCTTGTGGAGGGAACCAGTGAGATTTCCAGGAGCTGCATCTCAGTTACCAAGCCAGCAGCAGCCCGTGCCTAGTAACAGAGTCCTTAATGACTTTCCTGGAGTGTGAAATGCCATTAATATGATTAGAGCCAGTGGCCATGCTATAGCAACAGCAGCCTGCAGGCACACACACAGACCCCCAAGAGCACAGCTTCTCCCCCATGGGCAGAAGGTGACAGGGGTGTCACCCTGGCCCCAGCAGAGGCACTGCCAAGCACCCAGGGCAGTGGGGTGCTGCCCCTGGACAGCCCTGGTGTTGCTGCCCAGCACCCAGGGGTGAAGCAGAGGGACAGGGCTCCCTGGCAGTGGGGCTGGGAGTGCCAACCATGCCCCTCAGGGACTTCAGAGGGGGCTGTGGCTCTGTGCTGGAGGGACTGACAGCCTGAATGCAAACGTGTCTTTATTTACCTCCCCTTTAGAAAACTGAGCCTCGTGTTTTCCTGACAGGCAGTTGTACAACACAGAAAACCCAGATATGCTTTGGCACCTGATCTTGTTGTTGTCTTAACCAGGCAATCCAGTCCAACCCCTCCATGCTGGCCTTTTTAATGCCATATTTCATAGCAGCTCTCACCCCTATTCTGGCACTGCACTAATCAGTTCAGCAAGAGAGCCAGCTCTTGGCCCTTTATATTTATTAACTAATTTCCTAGAATTGGTCATGTCAGTCTATTCCAAATTTTATTTAAAAATTTATCATCCATTGTTCTTAAATGAAATCATACTCCTTTATCAAACAGCACCCCTTCTTACTGCCTGTAAGAAAGTCTGCTAAAAGGGCTGTGAGAATTTGGAGAGTTAGCTTTTTTCTTCTCATTTGTATAAAGGTGGTTGTTTTTTGGAAACCTCAGAAATATAGAGGGACAAGAAGCTTCTAGTTCTTGGGATAGACACTGAGCACCAGGATAAATGGCCCAGAGCCACTTCTTGTTGTTGCTGTTTTGACAATCACATTTCCTAAAGAAGGCTGTCTGCCAAGAGATCGATGCTTCTCATTCTCTTACCATCCCTGGTAATTGGATTGCCCTCATTAAGGTGAAAGTACTGTTTTTTTCTCCCTGTTGATTGTTTGTGTGTAGGTGGCCAGTTACAAATAGGGCAGATACTGAAAGGTAGGATGTTACTGTCTCTCAATAACTCTTGTGGTGCAAAAGCACGAAGCCATGAGTTTACCAGACTAAATGTGAGTGCTTTGTTGCTCTAGAAACATATGTGCAATGATGCAGGAATTGCTGAGCTTAATATTCTGTTCAAGCTTCCTAAAAATAATGAGCATTATTGTTTAATGAATGACCAGTGTTTATTAGGTTAAGTTGTATTTAAGCAGGTCTGCGCTTATGCAATTGAAGAGATTTAATAGGTATTATTAAGGTAATTAGAAAACGATCACAGTTCAGCAATAATATCGAGCTGCAAAGGTTGTGAATAACCAAATTTAGAGGCAGGCCTGCAAACACCAGTCTGCAGTGACATTTACGCAACTCTCCTCTAATAATTCTGTGAGCCTGGGATGAATGGCCTCTTTGTTAGGGGGAGTTATTCATTAGCTCCTCAACTGAATTAGAAGAGAACATGCGTGGGTGAGAAACAACTGCCATGAAGACTGATGAGCAAAATGAGGTTTTGATGATCTTCTAATTGAAGTGACAACAATTCAAGCATTAGAGGGGAAAAAAAAAAACAACAACTCCCCCAAAGAAACACCCCAAAAAAAGAGAAGAAATAATATCAGTCCTATGAATAATTTTTCATGCTCGTTATTTCCTTTATTCAGCTACAAAATGCCAAATAATAAATCACTGACGTACCGTTGCTTTGTTTTCCACTGACATTTGTGAAGGCTTATGGAAAGCTTCTGCCTACAAGAAGATACAGAAATAAAAATCTCAAAACACGTTTTCCACTGAAATTAGCATAAGGACTCAGTTGACTAAACAAGTAATGAACAATGATGGTAAAGAAGAAAACCTGTGTTGAGAGAACGTTAGGAAATGTCTCCGTGCTTTGCAAGGTGAACAAATATCTGCACATGTTGTAGCTAGTTTTTGATTTCACAAAAATATCCGAGGTGTCTCAGAATTTTCAACAGAGTCAAAAGAAATCAGTGGCAAGCCTGAAGAAATAAGGAATATGAGGTTTAACTGTACCCAAAAAAGTGAAAACTGGCCAAGATCCCTTTCCTGTGTGATGACTCTAAAGAGGGCCAGTGAAACATCCATCTGGAGACCAGAAGGTTCAGGTTTAGTAAATACTCCTCCCCAGCCTATACAATTCCCTCAAAAGTGATGAAAATAGAAATACCTGTGATGTAATTAGAAGAATGTCTGACTTTCAAATGGATCACAGTCAGAGGAGACTCAGCTAAACCAGGAGGAAAGGTTTGCTTTAGCAATGATGTAGGGAAAAGCCAACATGGCTCACAAAAAAAGCCTCACAAACTCTTTTCCCTCTAACCTATAAAAAACTGCAGCATCTGTCAAGCTGCATTATCCAAAATGCTTCTTTGGTTTGTTCTGCCCTTGGAAGGCATCAAGCACTCTATGAGAATTAAATAAGAATTAACATTGGCAGTAACAAACATTTGAAAAGCTCAGGGAAAAAAATGCCCCTGGGAACACTTAGGGGACATTCTGTGGGATGGAGGAGGAGGCAAAACAAGGGCTACTTTCATTTCATCTTGCACTGAGGATTTTGCAAAAATGAATGTTTTTTTGCACAGTGCGTTATCTTTGCTTACCTCAATCAACCTACAATACACGGTCTTTTATTGGAGATACAGAGCTCTTGAAATGTAAAGAGGAAAAGTTAAAAGAAGGAATATTTTTGCCTGAACAAGGAAACAACAAAAATGGAAGAGTTACTTTTTGTGTCTGTGAGGTGTTTTTACTGACAGTAAAATAGATCAAATTTTGATGATGCCACCATTTCTTATGGTGGCATACAAAGACCTAAGGCTCTGCATCCCTGGACTGGCATGGTCCAGAAAGGACCTCTCCTGCTGTCACTCTAGGAAGACACTTTTTGTCACCACTTGTTCACTTGGAAGATCCCACAGGAACACATCCATTGCTGCCAAGTTTTAATGGAATCAGGCAGGAATTGAAGAGAGATTGTTCTGCCTTCCCCCACTCTTTTATGCTCCTGTTTGATGGTAATTTCCAGTTGGGGTCAAGTCCTGATGACAAAGTGCACCCATGGCAGCGTGGCTCCTGTCCTTGGTGTGGGGCCCAGGTGACTCCAGGTGCTGGCAGGAGGTGACCTGGGTTCCCTGGGGTGATGGTGGCTGGTGATCCCAAACACCCAGCAATTCCCCTCAGCTCAGAAGGATGGCTAAAGGCCTTCACTGCCCAATGATGGGCTTTAAACTGCAGCTTTGGAGTGGAGTCAAACCCTGGCTCTGACCTTAGAACGAGGGGCAGCTGAAGCTGTAGAGACAAGAGGGTAACTCCTGGGGCAAAACACAAAGCACATTTCAAAATGACAACTGAAGGGCATCAGAAACACTGCTGAACTTCCCAGGATTCTGGCTGTCTCTCCCCTTGGTAATCCAGTTTAATGATACTCTTGTTAATTGGTGTCTCTGGAGCTTTAACCTGAGACCTTTCGGGTTAAGTTTTAGTGCTCTCAGTCATATGAAATAAAGGTGCAGTCCCTCTTGGAGTAGGAGAAATCATATAGGCTTCCATCCACAGAAAACATGTTAAAAAGGACAGCAAGGAAAAGAAATATATATGTGCTCTGACTTGCCATTTGAAAACACCCAGGGGTTCTTCATTGCCAAAGAGTTTTGTACAGATGGTATTTTAGGAGAGTAAAGATCCTTACCTGATGAAAGAGATCCACCCTTTTCAGCAGCAAGGCAGAGTCAAGCTGTGAGCTCTCTGGGAGAAAGGCTCTCTATCAGTGGTGCCCTGGCCCAAAGTGTTATAAAGCCACCCATTAATCACAGATTTGTCATTCAAAGCAGATGCAGATTTAGAGACCAGTTGACAAGTGAAGGGAAATCTGCAGAGAATTTGCTACTCCATCTGATGTCTACTGGAAGCAGGGATTAAGTTGCTACTTGCCAGTGTGTGCATCCTGAAGGCTGACGGTGTTCATGAAATATCCACTTAGACACAGTTCAGCTCTGAAGCCCAGTTTCAACAGACACTATCTTGTCAAAGGCAGAGCTGAGAGACAGAAATAGTGCCCAGTAAAGTCTATGTGATTATTTGAAAGGAAAAAAACTTCAGGACAAAAGTGTTTTAAATTCCAACGCATCTTTAGCTGCAATAACCACAACTGTCAACTAAAAACAGACAGAAAGGTCATAGCTGTTGTACTCAGCCATTTCTGGGGTAAGTTGCATATAGCAAAACCATCTCCATTTGAAGTCATATAGGCTTACACAGGAAGACTATTAGAGGAGAATTTAGTTGGCAAAAGCATTGGAAAGAAAGCTGGTAAAGCAGACTGAAGTCTCCTGTTTCACACAGATTCAGGCACAAAGGACGAGAATCAGATGCTGCACGAATGGTTTGAGCTGGTCATGGAGAAGAATAAATTGATGCGTTATGAGTCTGAGCTCCTGATTATGTAAGTAAGGACAAGCATTAGTATTAAAGACGGGGAGGGGAGAGGAGAGGGAAAAAAATGTACTCACAACTCACAATACACCTGAACCCCTTTCTGTGTTTGAGACAGCTGAGGAATAAAATCCAGAGTAGCTACAACCTGTTTAGAACGTAGATTTGCAGCTGAGGCCTCCTCATCCTTCCCTCTCATCACAGTTCAAACATTTCAGTTCTGTATGATCCTCTGAACCAGTGTGCACAGAGATGCTTTGCCTTCATAAAATGTGGGTCCAATGAACACCAGGGCACCTTCTCCTGGAAAGGGAAATAGTCTGACAAATCCATCTGGTTTTATTTAGCATAGGAAAAAAAGATCTAGAAATTCACTACAGCCATGAAACAAGCAGATACACCAACATAAGAAGCAAATAAACCTCACCTGAGATGCCACTGCTGTGGTGGATGGGATGTTTGCTGTAGCTCCCTCACCTTGCCTCCCTGTGAACATGCTCAGACAGGTGGAGGTGACTCTCAGCTATTTCTCCACTATTCATGGGCAATGTGGGAACCTCAGCAGTCCTCACTCACCCCTGGGTTTGCCACCTGTGCAGGCTGCTCATTGCCATTTATCATTTCCATGTCACTCAGCCCAGCCCTGAGCTCCAGCTGTTTCTCTCCAGATGTGCTGGTGCTGTGATAGCAATGCTTTCTTCTCACTCTGTCTGTGAGCTAAAAAGGCAACAGTGGGCTGCTTTTAGCACTGCAGGACACAAAAAGTTGTTGTCTGGATGTGTTAACTCCTTTGCCTCAGGACTTGTCCTGTGCAGAGGGTCTGGTGAGGGTTCATGTGTGGGTTCAGCACTATGCAGAATTCCACTGTGGGTGCCAGCAGCAAGGCACAGATGGCTCAAAGCCTTAAGCATTGCTGTGTATGGGGGAGTTCAACCCCATATATAATGTAAAAGGTGGCAGTGCTACTTCTGGAGCTGCTCTGGAGATGTTGGCACAGGTGAACCTTTTAGCGTTGGCAGCCCATGAGGAGAAAATACTGGATAAACAGAACACAGAATCTCGTCATTGAAATCATATTGACATATATGTCTTCATTGAAAAAAGCTTCTTTAACATACTTTTTGCTACACCCAGAGCCCAAGAGCTAGAATTGGAGGACCACCAAAGCAGGCTGGAACAGAAGCTGAGAGAGAAAATGGCCATTGATGGTGAGTCAAAGGGGACAGTGTGCTCCAGCCCACAGGGACACCCGTGCCAACCCTGTTTGCTCCAAAAAGAACCTGGCTGAGGCTCCTGTGCTCCCTCTGAGTGCAGCCCAGCCTGACAAATGTGAGGTCTCTTCATCTGAGTCCTGGTGAAGACAGCTGAGCTGAGCTGCCCAGTTCTAGACCGAGCTGGAGCAGGAGCACTGCACGAGTAATTAGTAATTACCCTGCTTGTGCTCTCCAGGCAGCCGTGTCCAGCTGGGGATGGACAGCAGGGAAAGGAACTTCTTCAGTCACCTACACAGAAGTTTTCTGCTCTTTACCAGCACTGCTGGTTACCACAGTATTTTGGAACTGCTTTGTGGTGCTTGGGATTGCAGCTTGGGCTTGTCCTTTCATTTGGGATTTGAAAATCCTCCCATGGGGAGGAACACTGCAGGGAGAAGGGTGGTTCCATAGCACTGAGTACCTCAAAATGTCCTGTTGTGTTCTAGGCATGTGGATTGCAAGTGACAGCAGTTTTCAGTACGTTTTCTGAAAAATGCTTTCCATTTTCTTACGGTACTACATTTCATGTTGGGATTTTTACCTTATAACCTAAATTTAAACAACAGCTTAATTGCTTCTATAATTAAGTAGTGCTTTTCCTACTGCTTCCAGTCTTAATTTTGTTTAAAAAAATCTACTCTATACCCTAGGAACCCTAACTTCAAGTGGCCCAAATCCAGGAGAAAATTTCCCTGAACTGTAACTTTAACAATGCTAACTGCTATTGACTATAATGTTAATTCAAGCTGTGCACTAACAGTTAAAAGGCAAACAGTGATCAGGTTCTTAAGCTCTTTTTCGTGACCTTTTAGACAGCCTCAAAGATGAGATGGATCTGAACGAAGAGCATGAAATTTTTACCGAGATGATGAAAGTGGTTGAAGAAAGGGACAGACTTGTTTGTGCCTTAGAAGAGCAGAGAGTGAAAGAAAGAGCAGAAGACCAGCACTTCGAAAGCCTTATACTATCTACAGGTTATCAACTGAGCAGGATTTAAACAGCCACATGCAAATAAACATCCTTGCAGCAGCACTCCCTGTCACAGAGATACAGTCTTCTGGAAAATGAAGGAATTCAAATTTAAAATCAGCTTATTTGGGAAATATGTCATTTTGTTATCAAAAGCTTTAAAGCAGTTCTTTTGCTTATAGCAGAGACAGTCATTTCACTGTCAGCTCAAAGGATCACTGGGACACAGATTTGGACTGAATTTGCCTGTCTGATGGGCACCAGGGTCTGTGAAAGGGAAATCAGAGCTCCATTATTCTCTTGGAGTTGTATTTTAATGCTGAGAGTAGAGTTTCTGAGGAACATGATGACATCACTTAGCATCTTTTAGACAGCCTTACTTTCCATCTGTTTGTCTGAATCTCTGTGTGGCTTTGTTAATATTTTGGCACAGCCAAGCCTGGTCAACTGTAGAAAAGTCAGAAAACAAGCATCTCATAAAAATAGGGTTAGTCTTTATTTCTGGTGGAGGAAGAGTCGTTTGACTAATGACTACATATAAGCACTTACTAAAACTACTGTAAATGCAATGTCAGAAATTAATTTTTCAGGTATTTATAAGTTTTATTGCACTGTGTATTTTTGAACAAGAAGTTAAAGCAATATTAAATCCCTGCATTTTGTAAAATGGTAAGGGATTATCAAAGAGATGACTATCCTTACAGCTGTTACATGCTCAAAAAGCTTCTGTATATCAGAGACTGAGGTCTTTAAAAGATGATACGAGATAATTTTAAAATAGTAATTCAGACCCAATTGATATTTATAGGGCAGACTTTACTATGACAGACTTCACAATTTCTTCTTAAAAAAATCAGAAATTGTATTGTTGGGTGTGATGAATGGTATAGCAGTTAAAGACCTCCCCAAGAATCATCCCATAAAAGGACTGCAAAAAATGTTGAGTTTTTAATATCAACATTTGATAGAAAAGATTGTGAGTGTATTTAAATTACATTTATCTTGCTGCTTGAGAATATATGCATACTTTTTGCTTAAAGGGACCATCTCCTATCTTTTCTGTACATGCATTTGTAGATATTGGCAAAACAGCATGCAGAACATTCTCCTAATTTAAGTAACTTCTTAAATCAGAGATAATTCTGCCATTTAAGATTGGTAGTATTCCCAACTGTAGGTGTGATGCACTAGATTTTCAAACTGGAAAGAACAAAGGGAAAATGAAAGAATGGGGTTTTTTTTGTTTTTTAGTTTTTTTTTTTTAATATCCTTTTACCTCGTGCTCTGGGAAGATTTGATGTTCTCATTATTTTGTGAACGGTGCTAATTTGCAGCATCAGCCTATGGTACAGGCAAAGATAGAAGCATTCCTGTTAACAAAGCTTTAACCTGAAAAACCTCTTGGTGAGTACTAAAACAAAGTAACAGACACACTGGATCCTGTCACATTAATTTATGAGTTGTCTTCAGGGGCTTTTTTGGTTCTGGGTTTGGTTTTTTTTTTGTATTGCAAGAAATTTGAAATACCCTTTCTAAAGGTAAAAGCAAGTTTTTGCTGTTGGCCACAGATGAATAATATACCTCTGTTGGTGCAAGCTTTATACTATTGCCCTGCAATATTTATTTATCTTTATTTATTAGTCTGTTTAGAGAGCGTAAGAGTGTCTGGTTGCATTTTACATTTTGGATGTTGTCTCTGATTTTGGTGGAAAAATGTTTATTTCTAACAGCTGTGTACAGCAAAGCTGTGCACTGTAGAGTAGACAGCTTTACAGGTTTGGTAAATAATTAGCAATAAGATATGAATTAAGATTTTAAACAGTGTTCTCAGTGACCATAACTTGAAGGGATGCCCTTAAAACACAGCATTCAGGGCTTTAACATATAATTTGTCTTTCATCACAGTGAAAAGACACAGAAGAATCATTAAATGTGTTCCAAAATAACCACCAGACTGTTTTTTTCCCCTTCTCATTCATAGCCTAAGCATACCTGATCTTCAGATGACATTTTTACTGAGATGGATTGCAGTCATTGATTTTTCAATCTAACTCTATTACTTAAGACTGACACAAAGTAGGAGAGGCAGAGCAGCAATAAATATTTTAATTTTCTCTGTTGAGATCTGCTGGTATTTCCAGTTTTGTGGAGAAAATTCCTGGGTTTTATCACTGTCTCAATCCTGCCTCATGCAGTCCTGGAGAAAACGAAAAGGAAAAAAAAAAAAGCCTAGGAAAAGTCATACTTTTCTGTGAGAGTAATAATGGTTTCAAAGTATTTTTTAAAAAAGTTTGAAAGCAAAATTCTTAGAGCTTCGCACAGGAGGAGAATTCTGCAGAAATCTCCAGTTATATCAAGGATTGTTTTTCTTCACCTCACTTGTACAATTAAGAAGTCCATTCACATTAGTGTTGCTGTTGCAAATAAGCCCTGAGATTTGTGCTTACAGCAGATACATGTTCAGCTATAAAACCAAACTCCAAAGGGTGCTTTCCCTTTAGCTGCATTCTTGAGAGTAGCAGAATCCACAGAAGCTGAGGGCCATCCAAAAATATTCTTTTGCTAAAGAAACACTTTTCTGGATGCCCTGTGGTTGTTACACATGCTCCACCCAAAACTGCCTGCTCTTGGGTGGAAAAACCTGTCAGGCTACTGCTGCCCTGCCTGACATTAAGTACCTCACAAGATTAGATCAAAAAAATAAACCGTGCAAGTGATTTAGAAAATCATAAATTCCTAAGTCATTTAAAGCAGGTCATGGTGTATTGTGAGAGTAGAGAAAGGGGTTAAAAAAAGGAGAAGCTATGTGCACTGTTCATAGGTCAATTCATGTGGTTGGCTTGTACTAGAAATGTATTTAAGCACTGGTTTGGTTATCAGTTTTCTTGCTGCTCAATCTTTTCTGTAACTTGGCTCACTAATTTATAATAGATTTACTCATTTTTAAGTTCATGGCATTGTCATTTCGGGGTATAATGTGATATGCTGGAATGTACTGAGTGTGTCTAAATGGGCTGGTTGTGAGAAATTTTCTATTGGAAAGAATAAAATTCTGTTTCACTCTTTGAAGTCCCCGAATCATTTCCATAGAAATTTCTCTCCACTGACACCTACAGTGCAATAATGTGTGATGAGGACAGATCTATAGGTAAGAAATTAAATCATCTTCTGAACTCATGTACTGGTAAGTAAATCGCAGCATCTTGCAGTGCACAGATCCCTTTTGTAGTTCAGAAATAATGACACTGAGGCTAGGGGGCATCTTTAACAGAAGAGATTACAAACCCCAGGAGATGAACAACTTCCACACGTGCTTACACAGGAATTCACCAGCTGGTTTTTCCTTGGGCTTGGCACACAAATTAGAACAGCTCCTTGAAGACTCGAAGGAAAAGTGTTGATCAAATGGTGATCAAAATCTTAATTGTCAATTAATTGTCAATTTTCAAATGGCACTAACTTTACCTCTATCAGGTCATGTTGTTTTGTTGCTTTCTGGCAGTGGGAGAGTCCTACTGCCCCAGACAATGTGCTGCCCAGAGGAGAGAAGGGGATAAGACTGGGGCCAGCACAATTGTCCCTGCTCAGTGACTCTGGACTCTGATAGATCTCTCCTCCTCACAGGACAGCTGCTTCTCTTCACAGGCCAGTGTGATCTCTGGCATCTTTGAACTGAGATTTTCCTTTTAGTTTCACATCCTTTCCTTCCCATCTTGTGGATTTTTCTGGCCCAGGAGCAGGGCAGCAATGCCATCACAGGACTTTACTGGGGTTCTTCTAATCACAGTGTGTGCACACTCCCACCTTACCCCTCTTCAAAAGATCACAGGTCTGAAGAAGCTCAGTTGGTGCTTAGGGACGTGGTTTAGTGGTGGATTTGGCAGTACTGGCCTAATGGCTGGACTTGGTCTTAAAGGTGTGTTCAAACTTAAACAATTCTGTGATTCTGTAAAAAGCTCGGGAAAACAATTTTGTAAATCACTGTTTGAATCAAAACCAATCCATTTGCCTCCAAGGTAAAGGCACATCTTACTGATTTTTAGTGTGTTTGAGCCTGGAAAACAAATTTAAAGGTCTTGTGCCTTGAAGCTTCTGCTTTGTAGCCCAAGGCATGTGTGATTTCCACTGAGATTTCCACATTGGTTTAGTAGTCCTTTTCCTGAAAGATACACTCTTTTATTGTTTGCTTGAGCAAGTAACAGGGTGTGGCCCAGCACACTGGAGACTCTGTATATCCTTTAAGACTTTGCTTCTGTTAAGATCTAGAGCTGTCCCTGCTGGGCTTTGCATGGACTGCACATTTTGGCATCATTTAGCACAAAAGGGTTTGCCATGGTAGCATGCAAATACTGTTCTTTCAGTTTTCATCCCATGAGCCTGGGTCCTGGCAAATACTTCGTGATGGCAAAGGTATTTGCTGGATTTCACCCAGATCTCTTTGCCTGATATTTATGAAAAAAAAATAAAAAATTGTGGTTTCTTCTGTTGCTTCTAATGAAGAGACCTGACGGCCCTGCATGCCAGTATTGTGCCTGCTGGAATATTCATGTAACACACCTGTACATAACCACAGGCCCAGATGAAGGGCACAACTGAAACTTATTAAGAAAAAGAAATCATAATACTGATTTTTTTCCTAAAACTGTCTCAAGAAGGACAGTTGCAAATGCAAGTAAACTTGGCCTAGTTTTTGTGAATAACTAATTGATGTAACAACATATTACCAAAAGTAGTGAATACCAGGATGACCTTCCTATTTTACCAAAAAGTTTTAAACCCACTTTCTTTCCTCTGAAGCCTTCAAATTATTGATTTCAGTGGCTGTATACAACATGTTATCTTTTATCTTTCATGTACATTTTTCCTCATCACATCTTCATCTGTCTATTTTGCTCCTTGATGTACAAAAAAAATGTATTATATGTTTTAAGAATCTGTTTGGAAATACTCCGTTACTTTTATAAAACTATGTTATTTTGTTATATTATTTGAACAGCATATTCTTATACCAAAGAAGTTAAGAGCAGAAAGCATAGGTGTCCTTTAAATTCCAGCATGTGCATATGTCCAATCTTAAATCTGACCTTGTGAGCTGGAAATTTATCTTGAAGCATGAGTTTTAGGTGATGCTGGCAATGAAAACGTGGAGCCCTTTTATCCCTGACAGGATGCTTTCTGCTGTTCTAAAGCAGCCACACGGAGATGGTGTGGAAACACCTCCTCTGCTCTGCAGGCTCCTTTGCTGTGCTGTTAACTATTACTCAGGGAGGGGTGGGCACGTTCAGCAATTCACCACACAGAGCTGGCAGGCCAGCACAAGGATGACTGCAAGTGCTCAGGAAAATAAAATGTGTAGACTTTGGTCTAGTTCTCCTCTTCCTGAAGTCAGCAAAGGGTGCTCCTGTAGGCAAGCACAGCAGTAGCAGCAAGTTGATAAATCGCTTTTTAAAATTCCACTTCCATTCTTTAAATGACCGAATGGTCAAAAGGCTGGAGCAGAGCTACACCTAGGAGAAAAATGTTAGTATTAAAAAATACTCTAAGGCAAGTAAATGATTTATTGCACAGTCTTAACCAGCTTGGCTGTTCTTTCTTGCTAGCCTAGCCTGTGGTTGGGATATTACATACCTTGCCTCTTCTGGTTCATTAGGAAAGTAAAACTCTGCTCCTGAGCTTTCTGAGTCTCATATTAAAAGAAATAAAAACCAGCTGTGCATGGACAGATATGCAGGTGAATAAAAATTATTTGAAGGGTGGAGAGGAGGAGGGGACTTAGCCACCTTTTATTGCCTGGCAAAAGTACATATGTGAGCAGGATACAATTAATTTGATGTAATGTTTGGCTCATCTGTCCGAACAAGGCGCTGACAGGGAGCGTGGTGAGAGCTCCCAGGGTCTGCTCCTCATTTCTCCGTGCCAGGTGCAGCAGGGCCAGCCTGAACAGCAGCCTGCTGACTGCTGTGTCCTGTGCTGGGATCGTGGAGCATGATCCTGGAAGTGTTCCACTGTCAAATATAGAGCAGAGCAAACTCCATCCCCACAGCTGCCATAACTTAGACCTTGTGTATACCTATAAAGGCAATATTAATTTCAGGCCATAACTTAGAACTTGTGTATACCTATAAAGGCAATATTAATTTCAGGCCATAACTTAGAACTTGTGTATACCTATAAAGGCTTTTGTGATGAATGCAATATTAATTTAAGACTATATTTTCATATATATTCCTACATAAAAAGAAAAAAATAAGGTAGCGTATGTAATTCTAAATTTAAGATACAGGGGGAAAATGTTGTAACTGTCCTCAAAGAGAAACGTCACAACTGGAAAAATACTGCAGAAATGTTACACACAATGAACTGCACATAAATCCTGAAAGAAATCCCAAAATCAAAGCTGTAAACTTAGGGTCTGGCTGTTGCTTTAGCATCATTACTTAAACACAGTATTTGAGTTTCCAGATCTGATAAAGTTCATCTTAAACACATTGTTTCATTTAACTTTTTCCCCTTGTGATGTCAAACTGACGTAGTTCACGAGGCTATTAAATAAGCAATACTGTATTTATCATTAATTTACATATACTGAGTGTTGAGAAATAGGAAAGATTCTGGGTCCTTTCAACAGTTTTGTGAGGGACTTGGCAAATGCATGTAGAATTCTGAGTACCCTGTACTGCACAGCCCAGTACCCGTTGCTCCTTGTGAGGTTTCAGGCTTGTTCCTTCTGTACAGAAATACAAAGACAAGCACACTTGTGCTTGCCAAAATGTTCTCTCTTCTACTGTGCCCACAAAATCCTATACTGACATCCAAGTACAGTTATTTAGCTCCAAATGGAGATTCAGCTGGGTCACTGTTCTGTTTGTAAATGCCACAGATTTACAGGCATATTTTAAAAAGTGCTTGATGTGTGTATTTCTCCTTTTGAAACTGTTTTTTATTATATTATTAAAAATTATTCAAAACTGTTCATCTCCTAATACATACACCGTATAAGCAGTGCTTCTGAAAAAAGAGAATAATGTGTGAAATTCAGGCTGCAATTTGTGTAACTGGTGCTATGAACCAGAGAGCAAAGGTAAGGAAAGATTGTGCTAAGGCTTGGGCTCATTCCTGCTTAGAACTGATGGCAGGATGGATGAATTGAGTTTTTCTCCAGGGCACATACTAACTGCATGCAACAAATAGGCATTGATG